AGAGAGAGAGAGAGAGAGAGAGAGAGAGAGAGAGAGAAGAAAGAAAAACCCACTGGAAAGCAAAGGGAAAGCCAGGCCCCTCTGACACACAGCTCTGGAGGAAGAAGGCAGCCAGGCCCAGAGTGGCTGAGGACTGGCCCAACAGCAGAAGTCACGGACCCCCTGGCTCTGCCGCCAAACTCTGACTTACGGTGGGCTGCTTTCTTTTTCTCCTGCTACGTTCATTTATCTATTTGATGTTGAGGGTAGTGATAGGCTTTTTTGAGGCTCCCGGCGCAGCAGAGAAACAGGCAGAAGAATAAAGGGAAAGAGGCTTTATCCCCTTTGAGGACAGGCAGAGAATGTGGGGACGATAAGGAGCTCTCGGGAGTTGGACAAAGGGAGGCTGAGGTTCTCATGGCCTTTTGTCAGGGGTGAAGTTGGGAGGAGATGTTTAGATAAGACCTGAGGGAGCTGACTGGGGGCTTCCCTGAGGCGGCGGGAAGGGTGGAAGGAAACTGCACCCTGGGCTGAGTTGGAGAAGAAGGGGGAGGTGGTCTTAGGGAAGACAGACTTTTGTATTAAGGGCTTCAGCCATATTTGATGGCCATCATGATGATTTTTAGCAATTTGTACTGGGACCAGAACCTATCATTCATCTTTTGGTTATTATGAAAGAGTTTGTGATCTTTTTTTTTTTTTTTTTGCTTTTTTTTTTTAATTTTTTTTTTTTTTTTAGGTTTTTTTTTTTAAATTTTCTTGTGGGTTTTTTTTTTCTGTAACTTTTACCTAATCCAATTTTATTGTATTGATTTAGTTTTTGACACTGGGAATCGAACTCACAACCTTACACTTGCCAGGCAGGCATTTTGCCCCTGAGCTATAGCCCTGGTGGGGGGGGGGTCTGTGATCTGAATGTGTCATTTTACCATGACCGTATTGAAGAGGAGGAGTATCGATGTTTAGTTTTTGATACCAGTGTGAGGAAAGGAGATGGGGTCGCCTGTAGACCTCGACACGGCTGTACTGAGGGGCCGCAGCAGAGGTGTGGAATAAGGCGGCAGGACTGAGAGGACAACAGGGAGAAATAGTGACAGAAGCATTCTCGTGAACATGAGGTGATTGGTTGTATACGAGGAGTCATTAGGGCTGGAATTGTGTCGTGTGTGATGAGCTCACTGAGGTGATGGGCTGAGTGGACTGTGATACAGTGTCCTTTTTTTTGGTATTTTTTCAGGGAAGGGTCTGCAGGGTGTGCAGGGTCTCACCACTAGATCGGACTCTTATGATCCACCTGTTTACAGCCTCCCAAGAGCTGGATTACAGGCGTGCGCCACCACGCCCAGTCTCAATTGCCATCTCAGCACGCTGCAGGGGCAGGGCTGGCACAGCAGGCCCGGGGATCGAACCCCTGGCCCCTGTGCCTGCTTGCAGGTGCTTCAATCTGCTGAGCTATTTGGCCAGCCCTAGACTGTCTTAAAGTGAATTTTTTTGTCTGTTAGTACAGCTACTGCTGCAAGTGTGCAGAAATATGGGGTCCATTTAGAAAGGTAAGCTACTGCTTGAAAGGGTGGTCTCTTCTTACGTCCTAAAACACCCATAGCACTGTGACCTGAGAGGTGGTATATAGGGTAAAAGGCTGAGTGGGGTTGAGGAATGTGAGAGCTGGGCCTTTAGGAGAGCCTGTTGTAGCTTGTGAGAGGAGGAACGCATAGGAGCAGCGGGGTCAGGGGCGCTAACAGGGACCTTTGGGTGCCTTATAGAGTGGCTGTGCTAGGGAAGCAAAGTTGGGAACCCAGAGGCGGAAGAAGCTAGCCAGACCAAGGAAGAAGAGGACTTGCTGTCTTGTGGTGGCCCCTGAAGCTCATGAAGGAGAGCTCTGTGGTCGGCAGTGATCGCATGAGTAGGGGAGTGCGGGTGAGCCCTAGATATTTGACCTTTGGTGAGGCTATCAAGCTGGGGAGGGAGAGACCCTGTAACCTCACCCTGACAGAAAATTGAGAAGAGTAGCTGTGGGTCGCAGGACTAGGGCATAAGAGGGAGAGCAAAGGAGCAGGTTGTCAATGTATTGAAGAAGCAGGCTGGGCTTGAGGCCAAGGGTTTCGAGATCAGCAGCGAGGACTTAGCTAAGGAAGTGAGGACTGTCTCTGAACCCCTGAGGCAGGACTGTCCACGCAGGACCGTCCACATGAGCTGTTGAGATCGGAGAGTGTCTGGGTCAGTCCATGTGAAGGCAAAGACGTTTCGGCAACCTGGGTGTAAGGGAACGGTGAAGAAGGCATACGGGCTGGAGTCCCTTTTGATGTTTGGGGGGTATCGGGTATTGAGGAATGGAGGTAAATGCTGTGGGATCTCTGAGGCACGATAGCAGAGGAACGGCGCGTGTGACATGAGTGGGACTGGAAGTGTCTCAGAGTGTGTGGTTGACAAGGGAAGAGGGAAGGAGGTGCTGGCTGTGCCTTGAGGTTGGGTTTGTGGGATGTACACAGTGGGGGAGAGAGAGGTAAGAGAGAATTGGAGTTTTTAGAGAAGGTCTCTCCCATGAGAGGTGAGGGACAGGTTGGGATCGCAAGGAAATTATGAGTGAAGAACAGTGTCTGAAGTCAGCAGGGAATGGGCCTGTCTCGAGGGGTCATGTAGGTCGGCCATCAACTCCCACTATGGAGACTAGGGCTAATACAGCAACTTTAGAACTCAGGAAGAACACTATATGTGGTCTCCATGTCAGCAAGAAAAGTTTTTTACCTGAGATGTCCAGGGAGACTCAGAACTCTGACAAAGGTACCTCGATGTGGGCCATGGACCCCAAGCTCTGTTGTTTCTCTTCAGCAGCAAGACCAAGCAGGTCAAGTATGGATGGATCTGGCCGTAGTGAGTTTCCCTGTGAGGACAGGGAATTGGATGACTTGCCCACTCTCTGGTGGACAGGACAGTCACACTTCTAGTGACCCTTGAGCTTGCAGATGTCCCAGTGATGGCTGCAGCTTGGGGCAAGCTCATGTCCAGTGTCCTTTGCCACATGAGACCATCCAGGAAGGGCTTGGGTGGCAGAGCTGTTTAGGCTTAGCGTTATCTCGTCAAGGCCCTGCTTTGATGGGAGTCTCCAGTGTCGCAGCCAGAAGTTGGCACTGTGTATAGTTAATTTTGGTCTCCATTATTGAAGATGCAGAAAGTTAGACTAAGTTTTCCTGTGGGGTTTGAGGGCTGAGATTTTTGTCTTTTTAGCTTGGCATGAATGCCAGGAGCAGATAGGGATATGAAATAGGAATTAATAACAATTGCTCCTTTAGGAGAATCTGGGTCTACATTAGTATATTTAGTTTAGAGCAATATACTTGATTATTAGAATTTTATCTGAGTATTAAGTACCTTGAAATATAAAGTGTAACCAGAGAACTGTTATTTCTTACCAACCATGGACATTGGAGCAGTTAAATCCCTGTAGAATGTTAACAGACAACAGTTACATACTTTTATAGGGAACAGTCATAACAGATGATGCAATCTCCATTTTGTTTTGGTATTTCCAAGTGTAATAGCACATTCGCAGGACACATGTCACAGAAGTTTTAGTTAGAAAATTATCGTGTGGCTGATGACCTCATGGTGGCTTCACAGGAACCTCTTATTATGAAAACCTGGAGCATAAGAGAAAGGCATGTGCTTAAATCTGAAAGAAAATTGACATTGTAGAATACTGTATATTTGGAAGGCATGAGTATATTTAATGTATCTAGCATCCTTTATGAGAAAACCTTATTTTAATTTTTGAAAAAACTTTGTTTCAACCAATGACCACATTGTTGGGGCTGTCTTTTAAGGAGGTTACTGGGGGCTCTTTATGGATGAACAAAGGCTGGCCACCTTTTATTCACCAATCAAGAGTCCTGTCTAATAATTTCTCCCTATTTTAATGGTTTTTATTTAATTATAAATTAATTTTGATGGTTAAGATAGATATATAGTTACATTCTCTTAATGAATAGAAGGATTTGTTGTAATAGTGTTTGTA